AACAACAAAATGAACAGCTAAATAAATGCAACGGCCTCCAAGAGGAGAGCCGCTCTCTCCAGTCATTTATAAAGTGGGTTACTTGAACCTGAGCTTGTTGCTCTGCCCTCCCACACGGTCTGGCAGCCGACAGAAAGTTCAACCACATGATGGCCAGTCCGCCCTTTGTCGACATATTATTTCACTGAGGTGAGCAGATCGCCACTGGGCTTTCACTAATACCAGCCACGCAAAAAACTGGGATTTTGTACAAGCTCCTTATGGGTAGGCTACTGCAATTTGTGAGTGCTTTCTCTGTGGTTGAAGATCAGCACTGCACTATGGAGGAGCGGCCGAAAGTCACCTGGAGTAAAGAGGCGGGGCTGCGTTGCGTGCATGGCTTCCTTCTCGTTAACGGGGAGACGCGCTCTGCGGCGTCTCGTTCAGGATCCGGAATAAATTTAAATATTTTGCCCCACTTATTCCACTTATTACTTATTTACCACTTATTGGCAAACAGGGAATGCTTTTAGGCTGGTTTGTCCAGTATCTATCTGAACGCTCTCAGGTTTGTACGTGTCAACGATGAATCTTCCCGCAAACCAAAGTTGCCATGGAGTGCCACGTCTCATGCTCGGACCTTATTTTGTCTCACATTTATATATGCTTCCGTTAGGCATTTATAGGCATCATTCTTGTAACTTTCATTGTATGCGGATGATACTCAGACTCTATTTTATCAATCAAGCCGATGAATTAATATCTAATAAAATTCAAGCTGCCTCAAGGACTAAAACGTGGATGACCTTACATTTTTTGATGTTAAACACGACCAAAACTTATTTGTACTTGGCCGAAGAACTACGAAAAATTATTAAGATATCTAACTATGGTGATGGAATTTGGCCTCAGTTGGATTAAGGAATCTTGGTGTAATAATATTTGATCAGAATTTCTTTAACGCCACATAACAATTTCCAAGACCGGCCTACTTCCATCTACGTACATTGCAAAATCGGCTATCTTGGCCCACGATGCAAGAAACTAGTCCATGCCTTGTTCTTCAGGGCTGGATATTGTAACTCTTATTTTCAGGGTGAACCAAGAGTAGGTCAACGTCGGATTCGCTTTTTCAAATGCTGCAGCTCTGTGTATTAACCAGAGTTAGGGAAAAGGGACCACATTACTCCTTGTTCTGGCTGCCTTTACACTGGCTCCCTATAGAACACAGGATGAATTTAAATTCTTCTTCTCGCTACAAAGCCCTTAAATGGGCAGGCGCCATCTTACCCTTTAAAGAACTCATTATACCCTACTGTCCTACTAGGGGCATTGCGTTCAAGAATGCAGGGTTGTTGGTTGTTCCTAGAGTCTCTAAAAATTACAATTGGGAGCCAGAGCCTTTCTATCAAGGCTCCCCTTTTTGTGTATCAGCTTCCAGTTTGTGTTCGGGCGCCAGAACCCTAATCGGTTTTTAAGAGTGCGCTTAAGACCTTCTTTTTGGATAAGCTTATATTAGGGCTGATTAGATTCCAGCCCCTTAGTTTTGCTGATTATAGGCTTAGTTTGTCGGGGGACATCTTACTTCTTCCTTCTCTCTGTCTATACCTGTGTACTCTCATGTTCCGATTAACCCAGCTTCCCCAAATTTCTTTCTTTTTGGTGTCTATATACGCCGGGATCCGGAGTCATGGATGATCCTGCGGTCCTGTGTCATGGATCGCGAGTCCTGGATCTTGAGTCGTGGCTGTGGTCCTGGATCATAAGTCCTGGATGGATATACTCGTGGATTCATCTTCCTATTATACACACATGCATCTCCAAACATTTGGACTACCTATGTTGCAAATGTATTATCTTTTCAATTTACACACGGCATCTATTGCACGTCTGTCCGTCCTGGGAGAGGGATCCCTCCTCTGATGCTCTCCCTGAGGTTTCTCCCATTTTTCCCTTTAAACTGTGGGGTTTTCGCCAGAAGTTTTTCCTTGTACGATGTGAGGGTCTAAGGACAGAGGGTGTCGTATTGTCATACTGATATTCTGTACAAACTGTGAAGTCCACTGAGACAAATGTAACATTTGTGATATTGGGCTATATAAATAAACATTGATTGATTGATTGATTGATTGATTGATTGATTGATTGATTGATTATTCCTAGCGTTCCACTGGTTACGGTGCCGCGTGCCAATGCGGGGGTTGCCGACCCCTGGTCTATAACATTGTTATATGGGTATAAAACAGGTGTAATAGTTGTGCTAGATGGGTGTTCAAAAACAAAAACACATCTACACACAGACAATTGAGAGTGTACTTACTATGCACTCATGTGCGCCCTGGTAGTCCTTGCACGTAGCTCCGTTCAGACAAGGGTTTGACTGGCACTCATACACCATGTCTACACAGTAGCTGCCCGTGTATCCTGGCTGGCACTGACACCGGTGAGAGTTACCCACATTCACACACCGCCCGGCATTCTTACACACATTTTCAACTTCAAAACCTACAGAAATGTGGGAAAGGAGCGGCATATAGTGAGCAAAGAATGTGATAGTTGCTGTACAGTTACAGTGAAAAACTGTGCATATTTACTTTGTTGATGTCTATATCTCACAAAGATGAATTATTACTGGATTAGGGATGATATCTGCTCTTATCCTAATGATTTAAAAGGTGTTGTTGGTCGTTGAGATATCTACTACATTAAATGAGTCCCTCACCATTCCTGGCAGCAAAGTCCTGGCAGGACATGTTGGGGACATCACAGTAGAGTCCAGTCCATCCCATCTGACAGTGGCAGGTCCAGGTCTTGGATATCTGTGAGCAGGTGCCGCCGTTAAGACAGCGCACCTGGTTGCAAAGGTTCACCATGTTCTGCAAACGACAAACAAAAGGAAAGTGTGACAGTTGATTATAAATGTTACACAGACAGAAAGAACTGCAACCAATCCATCCACCTTCTTGAGTTAAATACGTTAAAATAGACTTATCACAAATATGTAAAAAAAGAGCTCTACAATCTGTGCAGGTACTTTGTTTTCCTTAAAAGTCCCCTATTATACTGTTTTTAATCAATATATTATAGGTATCAGAAATACACAAAACATGTCTCTGGAGTGTTTGCCTCGAAATACCAAACAGATCATGCATTGTAGCATCCCATAATCCCCTCTGTTTCAAAAGTGCTGATTCTCTGTGCTACTTTAGATGAAAATAAGGAGCCCCTCCCCACGCCCCTCTGAGAGATATTTGGTTAAAAAGAACACAATGGTGCTCTAGGAGGAGATTCAGGTGATAAGGTAGGGGGGGGGTTACCTTGGTTGGTGATTGGCTAATGGTTACACAAGACAAAACATCGTTATGACATCATCAAGTGGCCAAAATCTGATCAGCTCATTTTCAGACAGGTTTTTATAGAAATGGATCAGGACAAAAAGAGAGAGAATCTTTTTTCCTGAAACTTTCAGAATCTCTTTCCACAGAGGGGACACATGGTTATGTATGAAAGACATTACAAAGTGGATTTTGCATAATAGGTGACCTTTAAATGTGAGCAAATATTAAACCGCTAAGAACACACATGACCTGCTGATCCACTCTGTTCACTAGCAGGGACTCTTTACCTGGCAGTTCTGCCCACTGTGTTCCACGGGGCAGGTGCAGCGGTATGTTCCCAGGCCATCGGTGCAGGTGCCTCCATTCTTACACGGCTGAGAGTCGCACTCATTCTGCTCGAACTCACAGAACGTCCCGTAAAAGCCAGGGCGGCATCGGCAGGAGAATTGGTTGATGTCATCAATGCATGTCCCATTATTCAGACAGGAACTGGTGGGAAGGAGGAAAAAAAGTGACTATTGATTTTCTTGAGTGCTGAGAGACATTTGAATAAAAAAGGTAAAATGAAAGTCACACAGTCTAATGAAACACAACATCTGCTGATTTTGGCTGATTCCCGTGTAAAATCAGGCTTGTTTTGAAACAGTATTTATGTTCGGTTTTTCCTCCAGCCAGTCATGAGGCACACCGAGAATAATCTTAATATTCAACATCAAGTTTTCTATTCCTTAATTTGGACATTTGATTGTATCATTCATCTATCTGCTCATTGCAGGAGATACAGTAGATGCCATCCACAAAGACTTCATTGCCAAAAATGAGAGCATTTAAGCATGGAAATGCAAGCATTATGGATCCGGCTTCGGATGAATGGCTCACCTCTCAGTACATTCAAGGATGTTGTGTTCACACAAGATTCCATCAAAGCCCGGTCGGCACTCGCACACAAAGCTGTTGACGTAGTCCCGGCAGATGGCCCCGTTCCTGCAGGGCTGACTGTCGCACTCGTCCACCTCGGCCTCACAGCGCTCACCCTCAAAGCCCGCATGGCAGTCACAATAGAAACTCCCCATACCGTCCACACAAGAGCCTCCATTCAGGCACGGGCCTACAGAGGAAAGAAGGAGGGAGCAGAGGCTTTGAATGACCAACTATATATTTTAAATAGCCTTTGCTTCCTTTTTTTAAACCAGACTCCACTGTTTTCTCCTTTCAATAACCCTTTACAATTCGTACGTATTGATATCTGAAAAACAATAACTACTTTGCGCATTCGTATAATGTATTCTAACTTATTATGTATATTCAATATATTGTAAAGCAAGAGTTTGGCTTGAAAATATGTAGAAAAGCACATGCCCTTATTTTAACAACCTTGTTTATCTGAGACATTTTGAAATCAGGCGTTTGTAACTCACTGACTCAAAGCGCACTAGGGATTAGGATATTTCCAATCTTCAGTAAGTAAAGAATATAACATAGGAATCGTAATAAATGCAGCTTTCATACGGGGTATGCAGCCACTAGAACGCAACGTAAAACTCACTTGGTGAGCAGTCGTCAATGTCTGTCTGACAGTTGTGTCCGCTGTATCCCGAGATACATTTACAGGTGTAGCTGCCCTGGTTGTTCACGCAGTTACCGCCATTTTTGCACGGGTAACTTTTGCATTCATTCACATCCTCCTTGCAGCGTGTACCTACACAATCGGGAGCAAGCAAACCAAATATTAGTACAGCATTGTTGTAGCAGTGATACATAATATGAGACCTAGACTGCATCTCACGTCCATAGGACTCAACTAGGCAGACAAATAGACAGAGTATTGGGCAATGCACACATACCTTCCCAGCCAGCGGCACATTTACAGGTGTACGATGAGTAGTCTGCAGATGGTTTACACACCCCTCCCCTCTCACAAGGCTTAGAGGAGCAGGGATTCTGTTCCACCTCACATTGTTTGCCTAGTTTGACATAGCACACATTGTAAGGATGGATACAAGGAATCTTTGCTTTATTCAGTTTGCAAAGCATGCTATTGGATGCTGATATGGTGGGAATGTGATGTCACTAACCTTTGTATCGCGGACTACATTGGCAGGAATAACTGTTGACTCCATCGATACAAACGCCTTGGTTCTGACAGGGCCCGGATGCACACTCATCTATGTTCATCTCACAGTTATTACCTTATGAGAGAGGAGTCGGGGTTTACATTTTTTCATTTTAGAATTCAGTGCTGTATCCTCTCTTGATTGCCAAGTTTGAAGAAAATGAAACGCAGAAATGTATTATTATAAAAGATTACCTCTGAAGCCAGAGTGGCACATGCACGTGAAGCCGTTATGTCTGTCCACACAGGAGCCATCGTTATGGCACGGATTTGGCTGGCACTCGTCCTTTTCCTGCTCACAGTGTTCTCCCACCCAGCCAGCTTCACACTCACAATGGTACCTTTAAATAAAGACAATGGTAAGACATTACTTCATAGTAATAATAACAGAAGCTACCAGCATCTTTTTAGGAAAGGCCATTAATTGGATTATATTTAAAAGAGCAATCTTTCCACCTTTAAGCTCTTTTCTGTTCTTTGGTTTTAGCGCCTGGCCGACGCGCTCACACATCACTCAGAGATACATTGTTTGTTTTTGGTACATTTATTTCCATGTTATCGGTTCCATTTATTCACTGTTCGTTCTCTTCACAAATTAAGGTATCTTACCAGACGGTGTTGAAACAGTTTTCGTCACTTAAATAAACAAATCTTCTCTTCTCTGCAGTGCAGTGGCTTCACAACCAAAATAGAACACAGAGTATAATCAGCAGGACTCTTTTAACCAGCTGAGGCAATCGCAGCACCAATCAGCTGCTCCGCCCAACCGTGGCTGCGGATCCCGATCAACTGACTCCAATCAATTATACTCCATTACATACATTAAATGATTCAATAATCTAAATAATAAATCAACGTTTTGGCTCCTACAATATTGTTGTATACACATCGTTGTGCCGATACTGCATATTAAAGGTTTTCCAGAGGTACATTTTGAAAGAAAAGTGTTAAAACATGTCTCAACGACTAAAAAGAGTAAAGGGAAGTCCCATTGAAATATAACAATATGTGAAGAATGAATCGGCTGTTGGCCCAACGGTTTTGTCTATTGAACTTTTGAATTCCACTTAATAATTGGGATGTGTTGGCCCACGTAATTGCACAACATGTCTGAATGCGATACTAAGCTATTCTAAACTGGTTTTCACTTTGAGTTGCTGCTCGGCTTGATGCTGCTATTGTTTATTTTTATTTGCACATCTGAAAACACTTATTTACACGTCCTTGTAAGTGTTGACCTTCTTTTATATCAGGGATTGCCCAATCTCTTAATCATATTCAAGCGTGAGATAAAATCAGAGGTGGGAAGTAGTGGAGTACAAATACTTCGTCACTCTACTTAAGTACATTTTTCTGGTATCAGTACTTTACTCCACTGCTTATTTTTCCGACGACTTTTTACTTTCTACCTCTTACATTTTCCAAACAGGCTGGTTACTTTAGTTTGAATCTGCGTTTGGTGGCGTGATCATAATTATTTAGAGTCATTGCGTGCCTATTGATTGAACACGATCCGTGTATCCATCATTTCCTGGTCTTCTCCAAAGAAAAGGGACCAATGAGAACTTTGTCATTTTGCTGTTGTTCAGCATCGAAACATTCATTAGCTAACAATGATAAGCCAAGCCCATACTTCTTTACTTTTACTTGAGTAAAACAGTTTAGTCGGTACTTCTAGTTTTACCAGAGTATTTTTAAACCCGAGTATCTGTACTTCTACTTGAGTAAAGGAAGTGTGTACTTTTGCCATCTCTGGATAAGATAAGGACAGATGGATCTCAGAGGTTAACCAGGTTTACATACCCGTGTTGTTGTTCAACACACTCTCCATGCGCACAGGGCTGAGGAGTGCAGTGGTCGGTCCCAGAGAGGCACAGGGGGCCGTGGGTGCTGGGGGGGCACAGGCAGTGGAACCCGTTGACCTTGTCCACGCAGGTCCCCCCACTCATACATGGGTTTGAGATACACTCGTTAATCTCCACATCACATTTAAGTCCTATTAGAAAGAGGGAAATAGTTCTTCATTATTGGTTTGGTTTTTGGTTTTGCAGAATGTAATAATACACCAACATAACAGATAACAAAGAACAAACAGGAAGAGGCAAAAAACCCATTGGGCTTATTTAAAGCCTCTACTTAAATAAGGTTTAAAATCACAATTTTCTATACAACACATTATCAATATACAAAACAACATATCCTTTACTTAACATTTTTATGAAAACACTGATGTGAATATGAAAACCAGGCCTCACAAGGTGGTCACATTACTTGTTTAGGTATCTTTTAAAGCAATGCAGCGAGGTACAGTTTGATCTCAGTAATGGCATCCTGCTATATCAATAAAGTTGAATCCTTGTGACTTTACTAGGTATTTAACAAAACATACCTGTGTATCCTGGGGCGCACACACATTTGAACTCGTTAATTCCATCGTGGCACTCTCCGTACTCACAGGGGTTGCTGGCACAGTCGTCTTCATTGATCTCACAGTTCACCCCTGAGTGGAGAAATATAAAACACACATTCATATGGGGTAACAACTAGCCGAGTTATATGCTTCATCATTTCATCTGACCGAATCTTTGAATACATTTGAAAGTACGAAAAACACCCCGTCACTTTTGGTTGTATCGAGTAAGGAATTACATAAGAGGTAAGCAGATCAAGTGGTTGTTACAAAATGTGACAGTTAACTCCTTCACCACCAGGGGGAGAAGAACTCCATAAGCATGTGGTTCAGAAAGAAGTGAGACATTTTCACAAAAACCCCTCACACAGCAGAGGCTGTTTTTCATACATATTATTAAGATCTATACATTTGACTTATTCTTTCATTTCACTGGCACTGTTTGTCTTAAACTATATTATTTCTTCTTTTTAGAGTATAATGTAAGTTGTATTGTCCAAAGGAGCCTGAGACTTTCATTACGCTGTGGCTGAATCTTGATCATTGAAAAGGATTAGAAACTGAAAGAGGGGGAGACATACAGAAATAAAACGAGACACAGAGAGAAAAAGGCACATCAGAGGGGAAGTGAAGGCATGAAACCAGAAAGTGAGACCCGACAGGGTGACCTCACAGCAGATTGTGTAGAGTAAGGAAAGTACAGACTTCAGTACCAGGCGTCAGGCTGGTACAGCGTACTGAACTGAGCCGATTAATCCCCAAAGCAACGTGGGGTAGCACCGCTCTGACCAGACTTGTGGCTGCTACTCACAAATGCACACGTAGAGAGCTCTACAATTTATACATCGCAAGTTATTCAGGAAGTCCTAGACGTGGGGGATGTTTTTTTACATTCAAATTAAGTTGTCAACCAGGTCAACAAAAGTTAATAAGAAAGAAAACTCAAAGGAGCAACTTCATATTACTAGGCTCAAGCTCTTTCAAAAATGATTTGTTAAGTTAGAGCTAACTGTTCCTTCAGTGGAAAAATTGTTGGAGGAAGTAGAACTCATACAATGTTTGTGGTTATAGTTCAGTCTATGGCTACTATAACAACCATATGTAACTTTGGGGTATCAGGCTTTTTAATAAACCCTGAAAAATAAGTGGCTGCACACACAATTTGAGGGGAATAATTGTATTAAAGTCCTCACACACTGGGCCATGGAAGATACAATGATGATAACATTTGTCTTTACATTAAAGGGGCCCTATCATGCTCATTTTCAGGTTCCATATTTGTATTTTGTGCGTCCACTGTGAAATGTTTACATTCGTTAATGTTCAGAAAGGTATTTATTTTGTTCATATGCGTGAAAGGTGTGCTGCACCTCTTTTCACCCTTGGTTAGTTGGCCGGCCCTGTTTTGATTGGTCAACCGCTGAGAGATGTCCTGCCCCTTAGCCTATCAAAAACAATGTGAACAAAAACCTATATAACACACTACAGGAAAGGGGAAACCCAAACCCCCCTTAATTAACCACCGACAGCAGCCAGATGGATATTTCAGAGCGACCTGGTATCACCTTGTGTTTTCGCATTTCACATTCAGTGAAATGTTTTTCCCCCATTGATAAATGTCAAATGATACTTCAACTAATCTCCTTCAAATCATTTTGTAGCACTCCAGGTCTCTCTACCTGTGGTTCCGGGTGAGCAGTTACACTGGTAGGCATTGACCAGGTCCACGCAGCGTCCTCGGTTCTGACATGGGTTGCTGTGGCACTCCTGGACCTGGATGTTACAGATGGAGCCTACGTATCCGGGATGGCACTCACAGGAGAAGGTGGCGATGCCGTCTTTACACACACCGTGGTGGCACGGCTCTGGTACGCAGTCATTGATGTTCTCTTCACAAAGAAGACCCGTGAAGCCTGAAGAAGGACATTTTAGATCTTAGACCAAGTGACTATTTCATATTATTTTAGTGGATCAAAAGGATATGGGTTCAAATGTGATGCAGTCTAACATTTCACTTTTTTTTAGCATGATAGCAGAGCAGGCCCTACACATTAGAATAACGATAATAATTCAACTTCTCCTATTGTCATTCCCTTTTACCTTCAGCACATTCACAATCATATCCGTTGGGTCGGTCGATACACTTGGCTCCGTTTAAACAGGGTGTGCTGGAACACTCGTCGATGTCTATCTGGCACATTTCACCGCTGAAGCCTGAAAAACAGAACACAGAACAGGATGAACCAACGCTTCAAACTGTTTCAAAACGTAAAATGACTTCATTCATTTTCACGTTGAGTGGGTGGCTATATGAAAGTACATGTATAAAGTTACATGTGAACCAACCTGCTGGGCACTCGCAGACAAAGCGGCTGACCTGGTCCAGACATTTCCCCTGGTTCAGACAGGGCGAGCTGAGGCACTCGTCCACCTCGACCTCACAGTGAATCCCCTCAAATCCTGAAAAAACGAGGCAAACAAAGTTTATGATTTCAAGTTTTCTCAAAAGCTACAGAAGCAAAGGATTTGGCCGACTGACGATTACGAATGCTAGAAATCTTTGGAAATGATCTGAATAAGAATGACTGGTAACATAAGTACAAATGTGAAAGGTTACTTATGATTTCTCAAGAAACGTACCGGGCATGCAGATGCAGCAGTAGTCCCCAATTCGATCCAGACATGTGCCGTCGTTCTGGCAGGGGTTTGAAGCACACTCGTTAACATCTTGCTCACAGCGCGGCCCGGCGTAACCTCTAACACAGTTGCAAGTGAAGGAGCCGTCTGTGTTCACACATTGACCACCGTGCTCACAAGGGTTGGTGCCTGGCAATTAAGAGGAAGGAGACATGGTTAGGTGAGTACATGCTGGCAGACATGTAGGGTTTGTGTGGTTAGAGTTTTTCTTTCTCACCAATGCTGCATTCGTCTCGGTCGCTGTTGCAGGTGTTGCCCACGTATCCTGGAGGACAGTTGCAGTTGAACATGCCACTGATGGGGTTGGTGTCGCACTGAGAGCCCTCTCTGCACGGGTTACTGATGCAGGCGTCGTCTCGGTGGCAAAGCAGACCTGAAAAGAACACCATGTTGACAGGAAATGAGTAAACATCCCTGGCTTGTACACTAATACAGCCTTGCTGGAATTATCAGAGATGTGGGAACACAATTGGACGACATTTCAATTTGCTACTGGGGATAAATTCCTTTTTTAAGGCTTAATCCAAAATTCCGTATGTGTTACAAACCAGTCAGCTGGACATGCAAAGCTATTCTGCATTATCTGATCTTGCGTTAACATTTTGAAAAGGTTGTAATTGTGTATTTTTATGCACATTGTAAAATGCTTTTTGTTATTGTGGGATATTACAATATGTTATGTGTCTGTCAAATATTTGTGCATGTATTTCTTTTTGGTATCTTTTTAAAAGATCCTGATTTCAGTGAGATTACCCGTTAAAATAAATAATAACATGCTGTGGTTATATTGGTGTATACGATTGACTGACATTGATCACATTCATTTTCATAGGTTAAAAGAATAAATGTAAAACAATCGGCTAAGGTAAACAACCATTTTATTCCAATTTGTTCCACAGGATACAGTTCCCTTCAATTCAATAAACTTGTTTACAAAACCAAAGGAAATATACAGTTTCCCTCGGAGCGTCAGGCACTAAATATGCTGGCACTTGACTTCTTATGTTTAAATAATATCATATTCTTCTTTATTGGATATATTCCTTAAATGTCTTATGTTTACATCTCTTGTTTTATCTTTTTATTGCACATTATTTGATTTTTCTCTATTTGATTCATTTTCTAAAACGGAACAACAGTCACGAAAAAGTCTGTTTATTATTCTATTTGGGATTATTTAAGTATTTCTGATTCAGTGTGTAAACTCAACAAAGTCTAATGTGAAATATCGATCTATGACAAAGACTGGTGGCGTTTCGTGTTAAATGTTTGACTACAGGCCTACCTGTCTTTCCGTAGGGGCAGAGGCAGACGAAAGAGGCAACGCGGTCGATGCAGGTGGAGCCCGGCGTGCACGAGGCTGTGGCGCAATCGTCGATGTTTTCAGAGCAGTCGGGTCCGCTCCAGCCGTTTACACACACACACACGTAGCTGCCAAACAGGTTGCTGCAGGTCCCTCCGTTCTGGCAAGTGTTTGGCTGCAGACGGCACTCATCCACATCCTCTGTACAGTGCTGACCTGTGTTGAGTCAGGGAGGTGGACATGAAGAAGAGGAGGAAATGTCAACAAATGAATACTCTGTCAATACTCCACGTTACAACATAACCCAAGGTGAAGCCTCATGAGTTTTGAGGTAGAGAAATCCAATTATTGTGTTTTCTCTAGATGCTGGTCACCTTTTTTTGGGAGATGGGAAATATATAATATGAAATAATATTCATCCACAGTGGAGATGTTTGAATACCCAGCTCACATCTGCTTTATTCTTCCTGGTTGGGTTAGTGCTATGTAAACTCAGGCATGCCAAAGGAAGCTGGTGAACGCATGTTTGCTTTTTAAATGGAAAGCGTGTGTATCCTGAACAAGTGTGTTAGCATAGACACGCCTTGTGTGAAGTACGAGCCTCTTTAGGATGTGGAGGGAGTACAGAAGGACTGTAGGAAGTGTAACATCAAAACACACAACATGAGAGGAAGTTATTTGAGGGTTCCCAGAAACAAACATTGATTCTGCCTCACTGCTCAAATGGCCCGTAGAAAATATAGGTTTAATGGATACAAATTTGAAAAAGTAAAGACACAGCTGTTGATTTTCATTCATTCACTTCAGAAAATATATGGAAGAATTCCCTGCTAAATATATGAATCCAATATATTTTCCTTTTTAAAACAGCAGGCATTGTAAGTATTTTTAAATACTTTTTAATATCCTCATGTTCTAGGCCAGTGACGCATGGGGATGCTTTGTGTTTTGGTGTCTGATAAAAATTCCTACTCGCTCCAACTGGACTTCCTGGATCACATGTTATGTCTCAGCTATTCTCAGCCTGAAAGCCCTCTAACAGCACATGTCTAAAATACACCCAAATGCATGTTTAATGATTCACTAAGCAAATAAATAATCATGAATCACTCACCGGTCCACTCTGGAGGGCACTGGCAGTTGTAGGTGTTGACTCCGTCCATACAGGTTCCTCCGTTGGCACACTGATGACCGGGGCAGTCGTCGATGTTGTGCTCACAGTTAGTCCCGTTGAAACCTGCCACAAAGGATTGGGGAAGACGTGCACTTAAATACAGCAAATCTAGTTAGATATTGTGTTTATATTACTTATCCTATCTATATGAGATGTCCTCTACAAGATAAAGACTTTAAACTTTTTTTTGAATGAACTCAGTTTAGTTTTATTTAAAAGGATTAGTTTGTGTGTCTACAGCTAAACTGGTGTGGTAGACCCTCGATAAGCCTTTTGAGCTTCAGCCTCTTCTTGCATGTTCAGTTATAATATTTTGTATCTTTTGTGAATGTTCTTTGTATATGCTATTAAGACAAATTCTGTGTTTTTATAATAACATGTTCTTAAATGTGTAAAAGCAGCCGTGTGTGTGTGTTTGTTGTGTCTACATGGTAACTGTAGCAGACTGACAGTAAAGTGTGGAACACAACACCAAAAGGATTAGACTGTTTGCACTTTAAACAACATAACGCTACATATATGTATAGATACAAACCAGTTACTATGCTTCTCTTTAGCTCTTTCTACATCAAGTGTTACTCTTTTAAAACTTCCATTTCCAATAAGTGTCGACCTCCTTTAAAAAAATGATAGGCATTTCAGTATTTGAATGCTCTTACCTGGAAGGCAGTGGCAGGAGTAGCTGATGTCAGAGCTCTGGTGGCAGGTGCCTCCATTCAGGCATGGTGAGGGGGAGCAGGGGATGTATGAGCTTTCACAGTGTCTGCCTGTAAACCCTGGTGTGCAGGTACACCTGTAGAAATGAGAGAGTTCATTTGATTCAAGTCAGTCTTATTTTGTAGTCGGCTCTTCCAGATAATGACTTTTACTCTACATCTAGTTTTTGTTTTTTTAAACTGGATTCTCACTTGTAGGAGCCAGGGGTGTTGACGCATAATCCTTCATTCTGGCATATAGAGGGTGTGGCTACACATTCGTCTGTGTCGTTGAGGCAGCGCGGACCTGTGTATCCTGGAGGACAGGAACATTTGTAGCTCCCAGCAGACGGAGAGCTGCACAGTCCCCTGTTGGCACAGGGACTGGAGAGACAGCTGTCCTCATGCTCGCACTTCTCTCCTGGGGATGAAGAGGAAGAAGAAGAGTACTTAGATGTGTGCTATGTATCACTATGTGAACATGTGGAGAATTATGGCTTAGATACTAAAGGAAAGCGGTATGCTATGATTGATACGATGAAAACACTTGTTGATCACATGTTGTGTTTTTTTTATTTTATTCTTTATTTATTTGGGGTAACATTATAGTACAAGTACAGTTTTTCAAATCATATATTTTTAGAGACCCGATACACATGTTGTGTTTTATCCTTTAACATTGTTTAGTACCAAAAGATTCAAACTCACTGTTAAGCCTCCACTAAAATGTTTTTGCAGTTATCACATGTCACCAAACTGCGCTCAGTGTAAGGCTGAGCAAACCTCTTAATTTTTTATTTTAATTATATAACAGTTTTAAATTGGATGCATTTATGTATCAAAAACCAATGCTGGTAGACAATCAGGGGATCCATGCACCAGATTTGTTTTAATTGAATCAGTAAGGGCAATAAATCAAGAGGAAATTGCTTAAATAGGTTAAGGATACAAGGGAACATTAGGCAATGTTTGAAATGTATTCATACAAATTCCAAGAAGCAACTTGTCTCTGGCCTCATGGCGTGACTTTTAATGTAACTTACGTGTTTTGAGATATCCTGCTAGCAGACAAACAAGTTATGCCAAAATGAAAACCTTGTGGTTATAACAGGCTCAGGAGACAATTACCTTAACATAAAACTATTTCTTTCAAATGACCTGTTTTGGAAAAAAAATATTTGACAAGATTTGACATAAATCTGTAAGAGTAGTTGCATTTAGGATCTAAATGTGTGTTCTGATGATAACAAAAAGTTAGATATTAATGACCTAATGGCAAACACTGAGAGGGCATTAAGCAGCATCTCACCTGTCCATCCTCTGGGACACTCGCACTTGTGTTTGTTGAGGGACAGCAGGGTGCAGACCCCCTTGTTGGCACAGGGGTTGTTGGGGTAACACGTGGAATTTTGGGGAGTTTGGCAGTGCGGCCCGATGTAAGCGAGCGGGCAGGAGCAGGTCGCGCTGTTTGGTACGGGAACTCCAGCTGACATGAGCACAGAGCAGTTCCCTCCATTCAGGCAGAAGCCAGGGTGACAGGGGTCCTTATGGTGGCAGTACTCCCCCAGAAACCCTGGTGCACACCTACACACATAGAAAAAATAGAATTTAATGACTGAAAATTCAAAGACACAATCACCCCTACATACAGACAATAATGTTGAGGTAAACAAAAAGGTGTGTGTGTGTGTGTGTGTGTGTGTGTGTGTGTGTGTGTGTGTGTGTGTGTGTGTGTGTGTGTGTGTGTGGGTGTTTGTGAATGAAAGCGAAGCAAATAAACAAAACAAAGCAGTGAGTTTCGGTCAGGCGCACAGGATGCAGCACATCAGAAGTCAGCATTGATAGTGAAGCGTAACATCTGTAGTACATACACATCAAAGACACACGANTGCGCACAGATGTTTTCAAGCACATCAGAAGTCAGCATTGATAGTGAAGCGTACATCTGTAGTTACATTGACCACATCAAAGACACACGATCGGATGGTAACTATCGCAGTTTAAACGGCACACTATTCACTTCTATATAGTTGATCTAAACAACAGTGTGTGGGAACCACACATCCCTGGCAGTTGGAGTATTAGCAAGAGTGGTTTTGTGCGATGAATGAGAAACTAGTTCCATT